CATTCTGAATGAGCATAGATTCTGGGCAACATTGCCTTCAATGTGTCTAAACAAATCTAATAATCAATTGTTTTTTTTATTAGGTCATTTTCTGTCAGTTATTGTACATGTGCACTGTTAAACTCCTGTAGTACCTTAATTTAGCTAAAAAGCCAAAAAAATATGACCAATTGAGGTAAAAACGGTATTATTTAGAGAATGTTATATGAAAACAGGTGTATTTGTTTTGTAGCATTGTTTGCTAGGCAGATGATGACAAGGGTGAAATAAAAAGTCGTGCATTGTTTGTATCATGCAATGAACTAATTGTTTTCTAATTTTCAAATTAGAAGGTCAATATATTAATACAAATAATTACAAGCTTGATTTTAGTGAATGAGTAACTTTTATTCTTTCCTGTTGTCAGAATATTGACATAGATACAATGTACATGAGGAATAACTGAAAAGACAGAGACTTAATTAAAGATCTGATAATATAAGGATTTTCCCAGTCTCAATAAAGGAAATCAAACTCGGTCTTGCCAAAATAAAATTCTGAAATATTCGACGCAATGACTTGTATTTGACTATATTTAGGAAATTACGCTAACACTCTGCCTGATGTATTAAATTATTTAATATAAAAAAAAAGATTATTTATTATATTATATAATATTATAATGAAAAATTTGCTCAGGTTGCAAAGATGCAGTCTTGTGTAAACGTGAAACCAGTTTTCGGGACGATGATATTGATCAACTTACGGTTATCACAAGCCGGAATGTACGTATAAATATTGCGTATATTCATTTCAACATTTTTTGGTATTTATTTATGTCTTGCCAAATAAATGTACCTTTTAAAATGATCACAAAATGTATATCACAAGAGTTCATTCTTTGCATATTTAATGTTTTTCAGTGAGGTAATGTTTTATGTATTTTATTTACTGTGTCCTTTATGTTCATATTTTTTTTTTCAACCATTGGAGAAATGTATCTAAGCTTCCATTAAAATTGTATTTGGTTTAATATCTTGTTTTACGTTTACGCTCTGCCATACATGTAGCCTCTTTATAATATTGGATCAGGAGTATGTTGTCAATGGAGAAATAAATCAGTGCATTTAAGCTTCAAGGCATGTAAGCTTTCATATAATTGGAAGTAAAGAATGAAAGAACCAAGTACTTAATAGAACTGTCTATCATGCATCATTAAATTCCTGAACTGCTGGTCATTTTACGATTAAATCAGCCCGTAAAAATTTAGTCTATAGTGACATAGCTGTTCACAACCCCAGACTGTCTGAATACTTATACTCTAACTTTGTGGTAATGTATGGTGCCCTCTGTTGATGAGTTATACATTTACTTTTGTCTTAGCCAGCTGCACTATTTGTACAGTTTGTTTTTGCTTTATAGTGTCTTGTGTCACATTTTATTCGAAAGTGGAATAAAATTTGTTGAAAATACTGCTGCTCCATTTGACAATGTTTTTGTATGCATATAGATTATTATTTACACAAACTTCCTTCCAAACAAACTTTCCTTTCATAAACTTCCGCTGTTGTCATAAATGACAGAGCAAAGCTGTTCATATATTTGGTGATTGTCTGTTGTCTTTCAAGAATTGCATTTTCAACTTCGTGAAAACTACATGTTCAATTGCTCTGGTATGTGGGTGCTAGTTGTGCGAATTAAAGTTTCAAGTTGTCCAAAGAGAACAACACCCCTGTGAACTGGGTTCCTCGATATTTTGAAACGTAAAGCACTTTTATAACGAATAAGCAAAAAGTACATGCTACACAACACATATTCATTAGCGTAAGGGGTGGGCAGGAAATGTTTGACCTGTTACAAGTGTTCGTGGGTTACACGTTGTATTATTATACAAAAATATAACACTGGAGCAATAATGATTTAGTAATATATTTCCACACAGGTGGGCAGGAAATGTCCGACTCCTTACAAAGAGTTATGTTATATTATTACAAAAAAGCGCCTAAATCAGGAATGTAGAAAATTGTCTAACATAGAAGCATGCATAAAACAATAAGACAAATATGAATAACACAACGGACGAAAACAATACAGGCGATCGGACACTGCTTTACCTATGTATAGTTTCTTCAAACTTTATGAAAATGAGTCCAATATTCTAAATTTATAGGAGGGACGTCCATGTTGATTTCCTTACACCACGAAGCACATCAGTAACTATGAACATAAATCAGGAGGTTAATCCAGCTCAAAACCAAAATCAGGAAATTTAAGTCATTCACTGGTGCTGTAGGCCGGAATTGGCCAATAGTTATCCTTATGATGCACAGTCCCACCAATCATATGTGAATTTGTATGACAATACACAGTGCATTATGGGTATATGCACAATTACTGGACGCATGAAAATGAATGCATCAGAAATGTATCATTTGGTCAAATATAAACATTCACATCAGGGTATATCAAAGTCCATTTCTCCAGTACTATTAGAAACATCTCGCCACTATATATATTTAAGACTATCAGCAAAAAACATCAACATCATTATGACAGGTACCTTAGGTGGACTCCTCAGATTTGTTCATTTCGTAACGATATCTCAAATTCTCTATTTTTGGGAAATAATGCTATTTTCTACTTCTTGAAAACTACTAGCTCAATTGCTTTGACAATTGGTACGTAGGTTCTTTAGGGATGGACGTGTCAGATTTGTTTCATGACGATAACTTCAATTGGCAAATATTGGTAATTTTAGATAACAAAAAAAATTTTAACTTCTTCTTTAACACTATCAACCTGATTGCTTCGATATTTGAAGTGTACAATGTTTGATAAAGTTGACGTGTTCTCAACAGCCAGAACCAAACACATTTTCACATATTGGTGTGCGTTTCTCTCCTTGACTTACCACAATGTTCTTGTACGACAGTGGAGCTATTATGAACACCAGGTCGCTTGTCAATTCTAGTTTATAGAACCCACATGAATAGGTAAAACAACACAACTATTTTTTGACTAATAATTTTATTTAATAAATTCAAATGCAGCAACACGTGTGTTAAGTACACAAGTTTATTTACAAATTATTGAAATATTTCAGTTGCATCACTAAACACCTGCGTCCATGAGCAGTATATATTCACACAATTTCAGAGTTCAAGATTATTACATTAATCCATTCTTTATAAAAAGTATAAAGTACACTTGTGAGAATGCTTGGCGGTATTATGGCTAGTGATTAATGTTTGCACATTCATTACTCAATGAACACAAGTACCGTAGTTCTATACCGACATGCAGTAAATGCAAAGTTTTACAATATACTGCTACCAATTATTAGCTGAGCTCATGCCTCGCTACAATAGATACGCAAATCGTTTGGTTCAATCCTTAAAAAAAACAAAACACTATGGAACGGTTTGTTTTTCAACTCCTGTATACTTATGGAGTAATGTATACATATCACGAGGTGGATGTAATATGTGGTTTGGGTCGTGGATATTAAAATAATATGCAAATACAGTTATCATGTCCTTGTTAATGATATTGAGGTCAATGAATTGTTTAAGATCAACATATTAGACACATGGATCTAACTGAATTGGATTACTTCTAGCACTTTCTGTTGATGTTGTCCATAGAATGAATGTGCACATGTGTGAACCCACTGTTTACTGCATTAGAAGCAATTCTGCATTAAAGTCTGTCAAAGTCATGAGGTGACATTCCACTAACGAGCTGTGTGCCTCTAATCATGAAGCCAAGATGAATGCATAGTTTTGTACTGGAGTACAGTGGCCAAGTTATCTATGAATTCCATTGAAAAATAAACTGGTCCACATCTAACACTACCTAACACATACAGTGTTGGTTCAGACTTCAACAACTGGTAGACAGTACACCACTGCATGTCTGGTGGTGTCTCCAGCGTTGTATTCAAACCATAATATTTACTCGTATTCTTTGATAAGTTTATTCTGAATGGCAAACCTGAAAGATAGTGAAAGGAGATATAAAGAATGATTACAAGTCTAAATGCAGCATAGATGTGGGATATTAGACAAGAATGTGAAAGGCCCTTCAAAAATATGCTAAAAGCATGACTTTGGGCATTATATTCAACAAAATTGTAAAAGAACAAAATACCCTTTATAGAAAAGGAGTACATAAATGCCTTCAAGGTAGAAAAATGCTGGAGTAAGACCAAACCAACACCATGAAACAACTACAAGCACCAAATTTAACATACATTGTAACATGCATTTGCTGGCCTAATCTAATATTACGGAACATCAGAAGTAACAACCAGTTTTCTAAGGCTTCCAAAATAATGTCAAGCAGCTTGGCCTTAACTCTGATTATATGGTTGTCAAAATTAAAAGTCATTAACATTCTATTGCATCTTATGCCCAATAATACTGAAACCAACCACGCAAGGTTTGTTGGTGTATACAGAAAGTATAGCCGAAGGAGTGGGATTGGGTACATTGTTATAAAGCCCCTTTGTCCTTGGTTCTATCAGGCTTTGAAAACACATCTTGAAATTTCAAAGTATAATTTTTCAGCTCAGTATGTTACAAAACTATGAGAAGAGAAATGTCAAAGTGTGAACGTGATAACAGCAGAGTTAATGTTTAATGAACACAAACAAAAAATAAAACATACCTGCTGCAAAGTAGTAAGGTATTAAACTGCTAGCAGCAAATGGTGTGAACAAAAAATCATGAGTTGGCGAGAGCATTCGCCATGCAGGGTGCAAGTCAGTCATTATAACACTCACTGTATGTACTTTTATTATAAAGCAATGACACACAATGTACACCAAAATCCAAACAGAACCTATCCATAAGTTTTGATTCAATGAAACAAAACATATGGTAATACTACAGGACACAGCAGATTAATAAAGTTATTTTACTTACTCAAATGCATGAAGGGTCAAATAGTGATGTATTGTCAGTGCTGCACGACTTGATTTTTGTAAGTGGCAACTATCAGAGTTATATTATTGTCAAAACAATACCATCAGTATTGCAACAGGCAGACGTAAGGCTATATATATAATATATATATATATATATATATATGTATGTGTGTGTGTGTGTGTGTGTGTGTTAATGTTTCCGTAGTGAAATTATGATAATGGTGGGAATGTAGCACCTGCTGCTACAAAGCAGTTAAATTATACAAGTGTCATGTTGATTTAGTTTATTCCTATAAACTTCTGACACATATGATATTGCAGAAGTGAAAATATTCATCTTTGATAATTACAAGGCAGTCTGATTTTTAAAGGTAGTTGCCAATCACCAGTGTACATTCAGGTCTTGTGGGACGAGCAACCAATCAGAAAGTGCATTTCGAATCTACACTGCTTTCTAGTAAGAAACGCTTGAATTTGTTGACAAATCATGTCAGAGCAAACCAGCCTGAATCTGATTTGCATATTATTTTGGTTAGCTGTAGTACACCAGAGATCAAAATTAAAAGTAGAAGAAGCTACCACATTAGATTTTAATTAGATTCCAAAAATTATCAGGGGACTTCTGCGAGTGGAGATACAGGAGCGAACAGTAATCATATGAAAATAATTATTATATTACATTTCTAGAATTATTTAAACCAGCCAAACATTTTCCACCTTTTTTCAGATGATTTGTAAACACTTTCTCGTTCATAGTATTCTCTCTCGTATCCTTCTTCCAGTTCTAGGTCGAATTCCTCCACATTTGTGACTAGTGAAGTAGGCCGTGTTGGTAAATTACGTAGAGCAGCATCTAATGGATGAACAGTTAGCAGCGAATCACTATCCGTTAAAATTCCATAGCTTTCTAAAAGCTTGACTGGTTCATCAGAATCAAATTCTACATTCTCATTGGTTTTCTCATACACCCAATCTTCCACCTTCTGTTCAAGCATAGATGACGTTATGCCACCTGAAATGTGATAAAAAAAAATATTTGTAAACACTACATCTAGAGAAAATCAGCAGAATAATTAATGCTCCTTGTATATTACAGAATACATGTACCCGGTAGTTTTTATATTGCAATGAAGATCTAGATATGCCCATAAGGGTATTCCATTGCCTGGCAATGTCGTACTTATTCTCAGGTAAAATTATTTCATTCACAACTACCGAAATAACTAAACTAAATCAAACACAAGTACAGAACTTGGAACATCATGGAGGCATCCATAGTCTTTGTGCCCTATTTTACCAGTATTGAATTTTGCCTTGAAAATGCGCGTGTCCTCTACGTTCAAGCCCAATAATTCATTATTTTCTTCCCAGCAAGTTTCCATTTGTGTGAAAATAACAAAATTGATACCATGATAAAACTTACAAATATTTCTGAGTTTAGTTCTACTGTAAGTGCTAGTGTGTGTGACTGAAAGATGATTATATCAAGTGGGTTCTGAAAACCTCCATCTTTGATGAACCTGGTAAGTTGTTTTATAATAAAGTTAGCTCAAGTTTTGACACTATCTATACCTACAAAGTACTGTGAAAAGTAACCCAAAAAATTCCTTTTTTCTGAATACAGTGGGTCAGAGAGAATCAATAAATTTATCCCCAGCATACATATTGATCTTTGACAACCAAAATGAGTACAGAATTTGTATGTAAATCACTAGAACAATAATGCATTTTTGTACATTTTTGGCATGTTAGAAAAATTTAAGAAATTCCAACAAGCCAATTAAAATGCACAAGAATTTTCCAAAAAAGTTAAATCCACAGCCATGGCCAGTGATTGTTAAAAGCATTACAATGACAGACATTCACAAAAGGCTGTATATTAAAAATGACGGAAGACTACATCATAATTTAATTTTATGATGGGCATTTTCCACACAACAAAAGTACTGACCTGATTTAACTGGATAGACCACAGATGGTCCATCTTTAGCTCCTTGTTCCAGGTGAGATGGCGGTCTTTGTGCAAGCAGGAAGGAATAAGTTAAAATAGTCTCCTTGAACAGTTCATCCTCCGCGCGATCCACTAGCAAAGTTAATAGTCCACGGTTATTGGCAACATTCTTAAAATACAACATTCGTGACAACTGCGCTAGATATCTATTGTGTCTGTTTTTATAACCAGTCCAAGCCTGAATACCGACAATTCCTGTTATGGAGACAACCAGGAGAGTCCACTGGACTTGCATGTGTGCCATGAAAGTCACAGCCTTCACTAACAAAGCTAAAGCACCAAGACCAATTGAGGTGCTCAGAATATACTTATCAAGTACTGTCATTTTAATTTTGCCATCTGGTAGCAACTGTTCCAAAGCTTTGATGGGAACTTCTTTAAACATCTTCAACAGAAGTTTCTCTTCTGTTTTTGGCCGCACGGCAACAACCACACGCTTGTAGTAGTCCATAGGCTTCGTATCTCCTGTTTCCTTAGCAAATAATCCAGTGAACTTGCGCTGTAATTTCTGAGACATTGTGTAACGAACAATTGGCGTTTCACGTCCTAAAGCCCAGTACCTTAAGACGTCATACGAGTTAGGATCAACGCTCACCTGACAAAAAAAAAGGATGATTTATGCTTATAATGCATACAATTTAAGTGAAACAAGGCATTTGCAGAAATGTTTAATATTGTAATGATGATCCAGATAGCATAGAAAATATTGCAATTCCAAATCATAGTGTATTGTTGGATAGTTTTGACTGAATTGAACACAACTCCGCCAATCACAAAGTGTGCCAACTCGTCCAACCTGACATAACTACCCAACAATGCACTGTAATTTGGAATTGTGTAATAACCTATTGCATTTCCTCACAACTTCAATACTGTTACAAACTATCAGGTTAATTTACTTCATTCGTACATACCAGAATAGAGTAACTGCTTTTTCCAAAGGGCAATTTTTTTTTTGAATCTTATCAGTAACAAGTCATTGAAAATGACACAATTTTTGAAAGTTCTCTTTGTGCTCGTCATATCACAGTCCTTCTATCACCAGTCTGGAAACGCTTATTATTCTATTGTACTAACCCTCGTAACGGGCAAATAAATCGTTGACACCTTACGCCAAGTTATCCCGAAAATAAACTCCC